GAGGGGAAATGTCCTAACTGCATTGCGATTCTGCAGTGGGAACATCGCATGTTGTTTTCACTCGTGTACACTTGAACTGCACATGCAAGAAAAAAGGTGGAATGTCTAAAACACCATAACCAGCTCAGGGTATTTGCCAATCTGAAATAAAAGTGGGATGGGAAGCGTGTCCTTCAGAACAAGGGTACAAATGCCCCTTTCGCTGCAGCGTGCGTGTATGTGTGCGTGTGTGTGAGTATGTTTGGGACGGGGGAGGGCGGGAGGGCTCTGGGAAGGGTTTGAACGGCAACATTCTTATTTTGTTCTGTATTTTTTCTTTTCCTTTTTTCTCTTTATTTTCTTTTTTAATTTATTCTTTTAGAATGTGACAATTTCATGAACAGCCACACTGGGGAGGAAACTGTAACATATTGCTACAGATGCCTTAAACTATGCACAAAGCTAAGTGACCAAATTTGTTTTTGATTTGAAAAATAATAATAATGATAATGGAAAAAAAAAAAAGTGCATTGTTTACGTATTCCTCCCTCTACTGAAACATTACCCACAATAATGGGGTCTCAATGGGAAAAGGAGAAAATGTTTTTTAGGGCAAAATTAAAGGACTAATTTTAAACTTAAAACATTCCATTTTTGTAATTTGTTTTACATTGGTTTAAGTACCGTAAGCACAACTGTAATCTAGTTTGAGAAACTGGTGCTTTCTTTTAGTTCATTTGTATTTCCCTGTTATTATTGTAAAAGACTGTTTATTAATTCTGTTTACAGTTTGTTGCAACAGCCATTTTTGGGAGCGAGCTTCAGCGTAAAGCCATTTGTAAAGGCTTTGCCATATTCATTTTAATATGTGCCTGTTGCTGTTAACTTTTAATTAATAAAAAAAAAACCTCTTTTCACATCATGCTCCTGTACATTTGAGTTACGATCGTCCAGCATTATGGGGAGGTAGCTAAGGTTGCAGTCAGCTTCCACTGTAAAACTAAGCCAACTTCTGGATCTGAAACTACTAGTTCTTGTATGCCAAAATTGATTGCCTCTTGGAGCTTGGCCTTTTACTGTTTGAAAAGCAAATCCTGACTTACCTGATTGTTTCCCTTCTAAAATGAAGTTGTTTTATTATTCTTTCATGTTCCCTGGAGTAGTATCATTAATATCAAAGTGGCCATGTTTAAAGAAATAAATTTGTAATGAAACCATTTGTGTGAACCTGCGTGAACTTCCTTCCTTTGCTGCCAGTGCAAGTTCTTGCTGTTGTCTGACTTTGGCAGAGATGGATTAAGTGGGATATATTCAGCTTTGGTTATAACCTGCAGTAACAGAAAAGCTGTATTTTAACAGGTTCCTTTTGAAGGGGGCACATGTGCCAGGGGTGCTTGGAGCTGTCAGAATGAAGAAGTAACTAACAGCTCACTATATGCAGAGAAACTTACTATGGAGAGACTGCAACTTCCTCACAGCCTGCATGGATTCGTAGGGTTAAGTGTGGAAGAGTACTGATTCCTCTTTGATGTTTTTGAATAAAACATGCGCCAAGCTGGCAGCTGTTCTGAAAACTACCACTGAAAAGGGTATCTGATGATGTCTTCTGCGACTCACATTGTGACTTGGTTTAAGGACAGGGCCTCAACAGCAATGTAAGTTTTGGAACTTGATACAGGCTACTTCTAAACTTATTTTCATTATAAACTCGTGTTTCATCAAAACACACTAGTTTATAAATAAGTAAGTATACAGCAATATTTCAGTACGATGTTTATAGATAACCTGTGGTTCTTCAGTGTTGTGCAATATTGCTGTCACCTGCTCTGATAGGAACCAGTACAGCTCATCAAGGTGCTGGAGTAAAACATGAATAGTTTTGTTTTAAGATACCTTTCCTGGAAAGGGGCTTCTGCCTTTTCCTACTAGACTGGACTTAGAAAGACTGGTTCTAATCCCACCAATCACTGTACATGAAAGCTTCTGACATTTGACTAAGTTGTGTGAAAGATTTCAAGTAGAAAGATACAAATTAAAGTACAGCAGTCTAAAATGAATGATTTGATGGCAGCTTTGTGAGTTCATTTTCTTATGCAGATGACACTTTTTACCAAAGTTTTGTATCACTGGTAAGGCTTGTTGCATGGTTTTGTGTTTCTGGGTGCTGGGTACCTGCACCTCGCATCAGCACTTCAGGACACTGCTTAATGTGGGGTTTCTCATGTTTTAACCCCATTTCGTAGGTCGAGTGCTACCCTGAATTTAACAAGTTGATGATGTACTTGGACTGAGGTAGTTCATTTGAGCTCCAGCATTTACAGAAATGTAAGCTGAAACACTTCCAGCAGATATCCTGTCTCTGAAAGAAAGAAAACCCCTGTAGAGTTTTCCAGGCTGGCTGCTTGGAAGCTGTGGCCTTTTGGGAGGGGGATGGTTGTGCCATATTGCAGGATGCTTGTACCAGCGGAAGGAGAGACCATTACATGAGTGCCTTCCTCTCGTGTTTGTGGTGAGGCATGAGCTTAGCATGTGTTCCTGATCGCTTTTTAATCTGAACGTAACTGAATTCACAGCACTGTACTGTTCTAAACTAACTGCTGTTACTCCTGCTGCATGGCAAGGGAAGGAGTCCAGTCCTGAAGGAGATGGCATTTGTCACTATGTTGATTTACAGTCACTATAACAGAAGGTAAACTGTACTTTATTGCAGCTGCTCCCTGGCTGCTATTGTTTGCAGAGTAGCACAACTGTCATACACAATGTTTATTTTAACTGCTTTTAATTTTATACAGTGGCAATAGAGCATTAAATACAAAACTTGAAACCAAAACTAACTTTAAAAAGTGTTTTAAAGGCATTTAAAATAACACAAAGGTTTAATGGCCTGGTGGTAAGACCAATAGCAGAGTGTTTTGGAAGGGAAGTACACTGTGTAAGTAATAAAACCATTTCAAGTTTCATAGCACAAAACATCCTACTCAATGGCACAATCTACCTTCCAGTTACAAGCAGCAAAGCTTCAGTCATCTTCAGTAACCAACCTCGTCAAAGCCGTTCAGCTGCCTTTAAGAAGTTGCTGTTTTTTCCTTTTCCTAGAAAACAGATGCTCCATGAGGCACCTGTCCTTGTTCTAGATCAGCATGGAACACCGACATACCCAGACTCATCTTCTACTCACACTTACAGTCAGATACCTTGGTTTTATTCAAGTGTACAGCTTGGCTGTAGCTCTCCAGTTCATGAACAGATTTTTTCCAGCCTAACTTCTACTTTTAGCTTGAGCCCTTCCCGCATCTGTGGCTGGGGGCATGAGGACCGGGGG